TGTACACACACCAATATAAAACACAAAATAACTAAGATCACTACACAGTCTCCCACCAAGAGTTTGAGCCCATGTTCCATTGTTTATACACGACAACGTTGCCAAATGTGACAAATTCAAATAAGTTTATTGAGGTATAATACACACAGGGATGAGGTAGCTCAAGCTATTCTCACCCCGTTCAGCATATCGTGTTCATATATATATATATATATATATAAAGATATATATATATATAATATATATATTATATATTATATATATATATATATATATATATATATATGTCGTACCTAGTAGCCAGAACTCACTTCTCAGCCTACTATTCAGGGCCGATTTGCCTAATAAGCCAAGTTTTCCTGAATTAATATATTTACTATAATTTTTTCCTTATGAAATGATAAAGCAACCCTTTTCACTATGTATGAGGTCAATTTTTTTTTATTGGAGTTAAAATTAACGTAGATATATGACCGAACCTAACCAACCCTACCTAACCTAACCTAACCTATATATATAGGTAAGTTAGGTTAGGTAGCCAAAAAAAGCTAGGTTAGGTTAGGTTAGGTAGGTTAGGTAGACGAAAAAACATTAATTCATGAAAACTTGGCTTATTAGGCAAATCGGGCCTTGCATAGTAGGCTGAGAAGTGAGTTCTGGCTACTAGGTACGACATATATATATATATATATATATATATATATATATATATATATATATATATATATATATATATATATATATATATATATATATATATATATATATATATATATATATATATATATTGGTAGCAGTCTTTCTTGTAAACATATATTATTAAATATGACCGAAAAAGTAAGATTAATAATTCTAACAAACGAATTTTCTCAATATTTCTTATGTTTCTTTTCACTGTCGATGGTCAAGTATAATGGGAGATTTTAACATTCAGGATATGAATTGGAACGAACTGGAAACATATCGAAGTTGATGCTTGACTTTTTATATATATGAAAATGCTAAACAGGTAGGTAGCCATGTATTAGGAAATAACATTCTTGCTCAGGTATTCTGTAGGAAAGAAGACTATATTAATAATATATTAATAATATATTAATATATAATAATATAGCCCGAGCATCGATTTCATATACCAAACTGGCAGTTCTGAGCGGAATATTTCTCCAACTTTTTGGATTATTTTTAATAATATAAATCCACAGAGGCAAACTGAATGATGATTGGAAATAGGTGAGTACCATGTAGTCTAGTACACAACCACACACAGGTGAGTACCATGTAGTCGAGTACACAACCACACACAGGTGAGTACCATGTAGTCTAGTACACAACCACACACAGGTGAGTACCATGTAGTCGAGTACACAACCACACACAGGTGAGTACCATGTAGTCTAGTACACAACCACACACAGGTGAGTACCATGTAGTCGAGTACACAACCACACACAGGTGAGTACCATGTAGTCTAGTACACAACCACACACAGGTGAGTACCATGTAGTCTAGTACACAACCACACACAGGTGAGTACCATGTAGTCGAGTACACAACCACACACAGAAGAGTACCATGTAGTCTAGTACACACACACACACACAGGTGAGTACCATGTAGTCGAGTACACACACACACACAGGTGAGTACCATGTACTCTAGTACACAACCACACACACACAAGAGAGTACCATGTAGTCGAGTACACAAACAAACTTCAAAACATGGCACTCTAGTGTTAACAAGCATACAAGGGCCACATACATTTGATACTTCAATTGAATTACAAAAAAAAAAGTCACTAACAGATATGCTGAGTGAGGGGAGAGAGTGGGGAGGGGAGATTCGGGAGGACAGAGGGGAGAGGGGAGACGATTGAGGAGTAAGGAAATGGGTAAATAAATTGTAGGGTATGGAATAGGGGGTTTGATGAATATTCAAGGGAGGAGGACTGGAAATGGTGGGCTGAGAATAGGGAGGGAGCAGGTGTTGTGGGGATGGTGGGAAAGAATAGGGGAGAGTTGATGATATATTGTGAAAGGTAATCAAATAAATTGGGGAAGGAGGGAACCGACCGAGACGGACGAGCAGACAAACACACACAGACGGTCATATATACATCCATACAAGCATACACACTCACAGACATACACTCTGACAGGCATACATGTATCCAGACTGACAGACATGCAGACAAACACAGTCAGACATACACATACATGCATACAGACTGACAAGCACATAGCCACAGAGGCACCGCAAGGAAAGATTGCTACAAGCAATTAAACTTTCCCACTAACAACTGAACTTCAGCTGCCTCCCAACCACCATTTTCTTCACAATTTTACAACTTCCCCGCAGGAGGTCAACCATAATATGTTGTTGGTCGTTGTTTCTTTGTTGCTGTTGCTGCTGTGTGCTGTTCCTAATGTTGTTTGCTGTTGCTGCTTCTGTTGCTGTTGTGAAGGTCGGTTTTGTTTGTTCATGCATGGTACTTTCT